AGTYACKTAAAATAGCTAAATTTTCCTTCTACATCACGCAGATTAGAGATATTTATGAAAATGGGCYAAATGACAMATAAATTTAAACCAATCGGCAACTGAATTAATTCAGAACGCGGAAAAGCATATACTAGGAAAATGAATATGCTTCAGCATTAGAAATGCTGCGGCGAAAAAATAATGGGCGATGAACAGAGAGAATCGGTGATTACTCTTACTGGCACTCAACAGGAAGCTTATTTATCACCGRGAGAAGCAGAASCAGCCCAAAGAAAATKAAATCCTGGRACGTTAGGAGTATGAGTTTTACAATAAGTGATAAAAAAGTTYTTTTCCCCACAGATTATTGCTTATAATCTTGAATGGAAGCACAAAACACACCAGACAAATAATGAGGGAATCTAGGGAAYACAACATAGACTATAAAGYTACAWACTATGAGCTACATGAGAACTGCATGAAAACAATACAGGAAGAGGTAAAGTTGATGGCGAACTTGCTCTCCCGAAAATGTGTGATTTGACAGAGAAAAGTGCTTTGAGGATCMAARGAKTATTAAGATCCACTYMAGTGAGCMWGAAGCCACCAAACTGGAACCGACAAACTAACAGAAAAGAGATTAAAAGCGTAGTCTTTAGCACAGCCATTAACATGTCCTAACTGCTTGCTGTTTCTGACCAAAAGACGATCAACACAGATTTTGTTTAAATTGTTGGAAGGAACTTTCTGGAGATTGTGGGAGTGGATGATTTTAGCAAAGTTTTTGTCAAAAACCGCTTTACTGTTAAAACCGCTGGAACTGTCTGAAAACTGAAAAGTTTTACCAACATTGAACCTGTTTTTTCACCTGTTTTACCAATAGTAACTAAACATTAGCAATAATTAATGTAACAGTTAAAAAATTGTTAGAAAAACTAATTTAATAAACGAGCACATGTCTCTTAGAACCCAGCCAGCAGCAAACGAGATTAAAAAGTCACCAATTTTGTCACCTCATATCGACGTGATTTTCACGGCAATTTGTCACAATAGAGCGATTTAATTAAACCAGAAACTCGAACGTTACAAAAGAACGAAAACGTCACTTCTTGTGTTTAGCAAACTTGTTCGAAATCGAAATAAAACAACATAAACCTAGGAAAGAACACAAATTTATTAGCATAAATTACGAATCAATTGGTGGCAGAAACAAACGGAAAAACATAATAAAAGCAAATTACAGTACATACAGTCGAAAAATAAATAAAAAATTGGTAAGCAAAATAAAAAATATATTTAATTAAACATTACAAATCCTAATAGTAGTAATTCTAGAATCCAGTTTTTCTAGTTTGAAGAATTATTTCTTCAAATGCTTTATGTAAATATGAATGCTGTATAAAAAAAATAATGTGAGATTTTTATTTTGGCTCTTGAGAGTTTAAATTATAAAGTAAAGTTGAACAGTAAGAATTCTAAAAATATCATAATAATCAACAATAAAATCGTACGCGTAAGCGCAAATTAGGAAAATTTCATTAAATAAAATCCTCAATTTTGAGGAGCGTTTTCAGAACTGATTGGCGTTTTCATAAATTTAAGGAATTCAACAATTAGAAGAAAAAATATTGAATTTTAAACACAGTGGAAGTTCAGATGCTTCTTCTACCTCGGATACATTTAACCTAATTCCTAGTCTTTAACCAGTTATTGGATAAAATATAAAAATTTGCAAAGTATTCGAGCTTCTCTCAGGAAAACTGTTAGAAACTTGAATAAAGTGCCTCTCAAACTTGGACATAAATCTACCTCAAAATTGTTGTTCAATTACAAAACCTCTGCACAGCACTAACTATTTCTGTATATACAAATTTTCATTTGTCGACAGATTTTAAGCTTAAAACCTAGTGAAAAACTTAGGTCCAGTTTAGGACCACAAATCACGTCTTATTGACGGCACTCGCGATCCAAAATGTCGCATAGACGAGACAGAACAATTTGACGCGATAATCACGAGATCTGACGATATTGCGCGGAGTGAAGTGCCAATCAGTGAATAAGTAAGGCAAACTGTATCTGATTGACTTGTTTTGTGGCTTTTGGTAATTTTTTAAACTAAAAAACGAAATGAAGAACTTCGGACGAGACTTCGGTTCGAAACAAAAGTAATAATATTTCCGACGGTTCTAAAAGCTTCACGCAACAATACTACGTGATTAACAGAAGATCGTATGCGATTGCGTGTTCCAAAATATTCAAGTGTTTTAAGTGTCTGGGCTTTTGGTAGTCGATAATTCCGAAGTTGGAAACTTTTTGCAACGGTGACTTTTAATTTAGAGATTAGAGATAGAGATTTTTATTTACATTTTTAGAACAATTAAACTTGTGAAAAATTGTGGTCGTTTGGCGCAAAAGAATGTTTGAAGTTTTCAGTTCAGAAATTTTACGGTTCCCAACATATCTAGATCCGTTGTATTCCGGAAACTTTGGAATGTGAAAAGTACCCTTTTCCATTCCGTTGTTGAGAATTTTATTGTCTTAAAAAATTGAGCTTGTTGCAATTTGGAAAGCTCCGAGATGGAAACACTTATTCATTAAGTTCTGTTAGCTTAATGAATATTTTCCGATTAAAAAATGCCTTCAAAAGACCAAAATGCGCACAAGTGTGTTGTGGGTTTTCCACTATCAAAAGGTCCCATTAGAGACGTCTGTATCGTCATTATTGTGCGGAATTTTTAATATGCGAAAAAGAGAGAAACATTAGCTTTCTTACATGGTTCTAAAACTTTCTATCCTTTAATCAGTGGGTTTCCCATGAGCCATTCAGTGTCCTGGATTATAAGATCCAAAGATTCTTCAACAAAAACGGCTAAATTTTCGTTATCTTGGAATTTGGAAAGACAAAGCTTTTTTTCTTTCTCCGATTTCTTGACTGTTAAAAACCTGTCGAAAATTGTGCTAAAACGACCCTTTTAAAACCGCAAAAACTCGATTACCATTTAAGCGAGTCTCCTGAAAGTATCCACTGGTTTCACATTAAAAATGTAAAATTATAAAGTATGTAAAATGATGGATAAATCTTCACATGAACAAAATGATACTTAAATTCGAGCTTGGACTGAACGTTGAGAAGCACTCAAAGTCGAGGATGCTCTTCGGACTATTGAAAGCCACACAAGAACACTTCTAAACCCGCAATTGTTTGAAACTGAAAAAATTCTTCTGAGAATCACAATATCAACTCAAAAATACAACAGAACCAAGACAACACCAAAACGGCACATGGATGAACTGTAGGCTGAAGTATCCACTGGTATACTCCGCACATCCTCAGTATAGAGAACGAATCGAACAATCATGAAAGTGTGAAACAGAATCTAAAGAAATTATAACCGCAGAACTAAAATAGCACAGCAGAAAACGTGTTTGAAAACTGTGAAGGACAGAGCATAAGAACGCGGAATTTCTAAACCAACTGAGACAAAACAACCAGGTAGCGAATGACGCAACTTCTGACTAATGAAAGTCGAAGGAAATTCGCGGAATGTCGGAAGGAATCAACAAAACTAATAAGGGCGAAGAAAATGGCTTACAGACGACTAAAGTATGAATAAATAAAAAGAGGCGGTGCTTGAACGGGCTGCAGAGAATTCTACAAGGCCAATAGGAAGAAGAAGCAAACCTCATGAATCCTACCTAACTTTTGCTTGATATTCGCAACTTGTCGTGTCTTAAGCGCCAAGTAAATACTGGGAAAAACACGTGTTTGTCCAGAACCCATCAAAATACCACAAATCCTGCTCGAGTGCTGATTAAATCCATATCCTCCTGCTAATAATATTCATTCTGATTCCAACCTTGCAGATAACAACAGCCATACTGTTGCCTTCACAATCTCACTTGAGGATCGCCAAAGCATTTGGTTCAAGGGCGTTTTAATTAAAACAAAGCGGCCCTTTTTCCCCCTTTGGCCCTGCAAAAGACTGGCGTGTTTGTACACCGTAAAGAGTCTCCGATTTTGTGCTATTTCGGCCTGCTGTTGTGGCTCCTGCAGGTTGTCCGTTCAAACTGGGTCGCATTCAAGGGCTTGTCCTTAGCCTTTCGTGCGCTTTTAATTGGAGCGCATGTAATTGTACTCGCATACTTTCCGGACATCAATTTTTCCTGATTTAATCTGAAGCACGGCACGAAGATGAGCAGAGGAAATTAGGAAATTGCATAACTAATGCCTATTAACGCGGGCAATAAGTAGCACTTAGCGAAAATCGCCTTATTACCATTAATGATTGGGCAGTGCATCTGAAATTGCCGGGTCGTTTCCAATTAAAATTGCCTTCCTGGGTTCGAGTACTCTAATTTTGCGAGGGAAATTTGCCGGGATTTTAGGAAATTAATGCCCCAATCACTTCGCCTAGAAGATTTTTTACAGAACAACACAGTTACTAAATACTGCAGCAATTTTTGCAAAAATGAGCCAACGGCTGTTGGATCGGGAACAGTTTTCCTTCAAATTATCCTCCGGTGTTTTCCCATGCATTGATGTTCATTCACATTGAACATCGAAAAACCCGCTCGGATTGAAGGAAAATATCGAATAAATTCCCAGCCCACAATAACAATAATGATTATATTGTGGAAATTAAAGCACGTTTCTGTTTCAGGCGCGCAAATTACTGCAATTATCAATTTTAATAGTTTTGTTCCTGTAAAAACAGCGCTTCCCGCTGACTGGGAAGCGAATTCCAATTAAAATTCAACTCCACATGGGCGCTTTTCATTGCCGAACCATTCCAACAAATGAATTTTAGATGATTTTTGCTTACAACGCTTTTCCGTGTGCGAAGAAATGGATTTTCCAAAGCAGTCGCATATAAATCAGATTGGATGTCGTTGAGCGGGATAATTCAGTGGATGCAAATGACATCCATCGATTCAAGCTTTTCCTCCGTTAATTCCTTCGCGAGCAGATTGGGTGGTAATTGAACTTTGCCGATAAAAAGAAAATTTTTACTCAAACCCACCATTATGTCCCAGTTTCCTGTTCCTAGACGCCTTTCGCTTGAACCTCTTGATCTTCGCCTTGAAGCTCTGCAGGATTCGGTCTTCTTCCTCGCTGCTGGCCGATGAGGACATGATTGACGACAAACAAATGGAGCACTGCTCAGAACCGGCGCTCGAACTTGACTCCTCATGGAAGTAGAAACTTCCACGTTTATCCAGCTTGGAATGATCAACCATTTCCGGCATTTCACCGAACTGGTTCAAGCCTTAACATTGCAAAACCACTTCAGTCATTTTATATCAAAGTCCACCTGTGCCATGGCTATCATCTAGCGAGTAACACGTGCTGAAAAGTCTAAAAATATCGTCGTGTCGCTATTAAAAAAGATGATTTTGTTGCCATGACTGAAGGAAAAATTGTGTGGAAATAGCGGACGATTTTCACGGACAAAATGCGTTTTTCTGCAAAAACACACCACGAACAACACGCGATCGAATCACGACTACTGAATTTATGTGTGGCTTAGAGGATGCGATGGGATGTAAAAATTGCTTTTCATTCCTGTCTGAAAAACATAAACAATCGCGTTTTACTCGTTTTCTAAGTTGGCCGCATTTAATTCCAGTGTCATCCTTGAATAGAGCGGACTGTCTGGATCGATATTCCAAACTGCAACATATGCAAATGCGGGTTTTTGGAACGTTTTCCACTGGAAGTTGAGTGTTTGGTTGGCCACGTTCAATCGGGAAAATCACTGTTGTGTCCAAGATCTGGGTATTCCTGGAAGTTCCACTGGAGTTTTTCGGGCCTCTAGTTCATCCTGGAAAAGGACGTGACGTTTTGCTCCCATGAGTGCCTTGCACCTTCAGAGGCGCTTCGCTCGAATCATCAGGTTAATTTAAGCTTTCATTAGCTTAGTGTGTTTTATTCAAAACAACTGTGGTTTAGCTTCGTACCATTAATCAGCGAACACCCAATATAACCACCTTTGCTAAGAGGTTGAAGGTAATATTTCCTTTGGGACTATTGCGAAAACCCACTTTCACTGGCTTTCGGTATCGTTTTCTTGACCCTTCCTTAGCGACTTGCCATTGCCAAGATTCCACAAATAATATCATTTGGTGACTTGGCTGCAATTCGTCTGACTTCAGTGAGATAATTGACTCATAATAGCTAATCCTAGACGTTTAAACAACGATTAAACTGAAATTTTTCTAGTTATTGTCCAAGAGCGGTGCTGGCAACTGACGGAAATAAAGCCGAAAAGCCCTCCTCAATTAAAGAACTGCTTAGGAACAAACGGGAAATAGCTTCACCTGTTGCGACTAATCCAGATTATGGTCGCAAACTTTTCCAATTAGGGCCTAAATTTTGCTCATAACGCGAAAATATGCCTGGAATATATCATATATTCTTTGGCTCATTTGCATGAATTTGTGCTGTTGCTGGAGGGTACCGGTGAGTGAATAATCAAAGTTAATAATCAAAAGCCGGGCGGTGAATCTACGAGTGTTTAAATAATTGAGAAGTGTTTCCACCTATTTGGAGCAGCTTTAGAGGATGCTGAAGACAACCGCATGTTTTAGCAAAGCTGCAAAGATTTGGGAGAAAATTGGAGGTTTTTGTTTCCAAACTGCATAAAAACAATTTCAGTTTTACTCTCGCTACGATCTCGACGTTTGGCTATTTTATCATCATTTTCCGTTTTTTTAACAGCATTATTTGAGAAGATGTAATAATTGTCGCTGAATCAAGATTTTAAGGTTTTTTAGTAACAATTTGAGGTATTCAACATCGTGGCAAAAGGTGGATTCTGAAAGTTCCTGAAAGTTTTTGGATGGAACCCAAATCATACAAACTTGTAGTTGTTTTGTGATTTTTATCGCAAGCTGGCAACAAACCATCCGTTCATACTGGAATAATCCACATTACATCTGTTTTCTTTCATGGATTAAGACTATAAAACTTCTTTTAGTCAAACTCAATACTAGCTTTTAGTCCCTTCTTCTTAATTCAGTCCAAAAGTCTTCTTAGGTCCTTCTTCAGTCCTTGAAAGTTAAAAAAATCCAGTGATTCGATATATCGAACAGTTTCTGATTTACACTGTGTCTTAAACTGCGACTTGGGTTAGTTTAAATCTTCTTTTTGAGTTTACCTCCTTTGAGGTTAAGAATTTGTTTTTAAAACCAACGAGGGAAAGACAGATCACGATGCGGCCAATCAAAAAGGTCCTATCAGCTGATTGGATATCTCGAACCGTTTCTGAGATACAGAGTGTTTTAAGCTTCGCGGATTTTCAAAGATTTTGTGTTTTTCACTATTGCCTCTTTAGAGGTTAGAAATGTCTGAGAGAGGCAAAATTTGGCTATCGATACAGTCCATCGAGAAGGTTTAATATTTCGAACCGAAAGATATATAGTATGATGATATTTAGTAAGATATATGATAAAGTGTTATAGTTCTCAAAAGCCTCCATTATTTTGACATATTGGCTTCTATCTCTCTTCAGGTTAAGAATTGCTACCGAAACCTAACTCATGAAATATAAGTTGAAAAAAGCACTATCGAAAAGTTCAACACGAGAATTTCGTGTTTCTAACCGTTTCGAAGATATAATGTTGCAAACTTCGAAGGACCGAAAATTATTATATTGGTGCTTCTATCTTTTTGAAGGTTAGGATTTTGTGACAAAAGCCAATTGGTGCAAGAAAGGTCTTGATACGGACTATCGAAAAGTTCTACTCCCTGATTGTACAGTAGATGTGGCGAATGTTTCTGAAATATGCGGTGTTTAAACTTCGCAAAAGCCTCCAATTTTTGCTTAGGTATATCTTTTTAAAGGTTAGGAACTTCCGGTGCAACCACATTTATGAATAGTCTGAGAGAAGGTCTATTAAAAGTCCATTACATCTGATTTGGAAGAGATGGAGTTTAAATGGCGTGAGGCGCAAAATGTTTAAATTTGTGCTATCTTCTTTAATGTTAGGATTTTGTGATAAGATCTAATTAGTGAAAGATTGTGCTTGAAACAGGCGATCGAAAAGGTTCTTGGGGCTGAAGCAAGTTTTTGAACGGTTTCAAATCCAGGTCGGTTTTAAACTTTCAAACGCCTGAACAGGGGCGAAGCCCTATGGCGATTTTTAACATGTGTAAACCCTGTTGAAATAACAAATAAAATTTGGTTGTTTCTGTTCTGAAACTGGTAAATAATTAGGTTTCTAAAAAAATATTCGCCATCGAGTATCAATTTGTCGACCAAAAATTGCTCAAAAAACACCATTTTGTTCATTTAGTCAAAATTAATTTAAGTTAAGTATTCCCAATCCCAAAGTTGGAAGAATTATTGATTGCGATTATTGCGTTTGGCAAAACGTTTCCAGACTAGACAGTAACTAAAGAGAATATAATGGAAAAGCTTTCCTTAATAAGGGATCAGTGGGGTTTATCAGGGCTCATTGTGAACTACTGAAGCTTATTGCGGCTTATCCAGATCCAGATTAAATGTGTCCATTTTGCTCCTAAATGTTGTTCGTAAAACTCGCAAATATGCCGTGCATATCACACAGATAGTATARACCGTARGMTTAAAATTGRCAATATTTTTTSCTTCTATCTTGTTGGGAGYCAGAGATTGTAATTTGRAAATATCATTGAGCTTGAACTGGCATTTTCAACCGTTTTGGACTTTCTGGAAAACGCCTGGAWTWATATWGCTGGATAAATAGCTCAAAAAGTTATGTTTTTAAAAGACTTTTCGATGGAGGCGATATTTKCAACCAAAGCCGGCRTMAATCTAAATAAAACCGACGGAAATGGCCATAACTAATTARCTTTTCCTAGTAATTAAAGCGTACTTGTTGCGTATACTTGAAWAGGCGAWAAYMTTKGTTTCGATTAATATTTTAKAYCTCTAKACCCTCTTTTYATCGYCMTCATAGCACATCCTTAGCGACTAGCCATTTCCTGMAAAAACGCAAAAAATATTTTGTGGCTACCAGTGAAAATTTTTCTAGAAGCTTTTCAGATTGCAGACAATTTGMGAGTTTTTRCARCCTACCAGAASTGATCTAACTCGATGTCCCGGTCAAMAASACGCAATCTCAGGYGCCKCTSTTGGACTTCAGTAAYTTGAGGCCGAAATAGTATATAATATTTCCTATTCGGAATCATCAATCGTTACATTTTCYSAGCTTCAGCAAGCAGATAATARMMACTAATAATAARMSYCASTARTAAATGCAGTAAAYGCTCAATGCAGTAAACCATYAAATTGCTGTTTTGTTTATGGAAACGTTGGAATATTSGACCGRATTGAAATGATCCATAAAAGGCCCCACTAAAAACKGTTGCCCARATATGTRGAATCGCTTGCAAAAGCAAACAATTGCAAAATGTCCGCAGGAATTGGKCCRRAAATWGGGAAGASGGTTTTGAATTTTTTTGGAATCWWTTAATAGTTGGCGCATTRAMATCAAAACCGTCAAGATTTTTAGAGTCTTTTAAGTCWKYKARAAAGCTCATAAACGTCTARTKCAAAATATGGCTAGYAAATATTGAAATATTTCCCCACGRAAGYRGAAAATCCRAAAGYRGCAAAACTTKCTCTTCCGGAAAAAGTTTGTATGTTGAAACATAAAAATGCGCACCCTGGCCTATGCATACTTTTCTTTCTTGGGTACTTTGATTATTTACTGCAGTTTTGTAAACTTGATTCCAATTCTTCGAACCCGATTATTTCGCCCCTAACATCTACCGAACCATGATAATTGGTAATTTTATGGCCTAATGTTCTTCCTAATTTTATGACCTAATGTGGCGTTTTCGAAAAAAAAATATTTAATGAAAAACACTGTGAGTTTGGCCCTGACGTTTCGCTGGCACGTATGGCTGGCACCTTCAGAGTTGTACTCACTTCTGGCGTCCCACCATAATAACAAATTGCTTTTCATCATAAAATATCATTTTCCTCTAGAACGATTGACATTAGAGCTGTTGACTAATGCTACCTTTTCCTTAGAAAAATAATGGCCTTTCAAGCTGAGATATCAAATTGCACTTTCTTCAAGTGGCAGTGGCGTAGGTTTTGGGGTTACACGATTGAATAAAAACAGACGAAAAACAGGAGTTTATAGTTGCAATTTTTCTCTATTTTGGCCCTTTTAAATTGTAATTTTCCCCAGTGGCATTACAGTTGAGGCAAAACAGCTTCTCTAATTTTATTTCCATATTTTACACCCGCTGATGCATCAAAAAGTGCGACGTTTCAAAGAAGTTGAAATACGTTTTTCCACTGTCAAGGTGCTAATGAACTTATTCCACTTCTTCCAAATGGTTGCCAAAATCCATCCGAAAATTATGTATGCATAAAAAGTTATTTTGTGACTTCTATCGCACACTGGCAACAAACTTCGAGTCTCAATCCGATCGTTTAGCGCTCTTTTAAGTTTTAGCTCTTTCGGTTTTCTCTTTCTGTTTCTCTTTCTTCAAAGATGAGGAGTTTCGAATCAAACTCAGTGAAGAAATACAGTGCTGAAGAGAAACTATACAAAAGGCCCGGA